TTGCATCTTTAAAGACTTTGGAGCCCATCTTTTCTGGAAAATCCCAAAAACCTCTCTCTGAGGCAACCGCGGCATCCCATTGGGCTCTCACAGAAATTAAGTCTTTGATAGGAGCCCAGCACGCGACAGCACACTGTCACTTTTGGACTCTCACTTGCTGAGGTGTTCCAGCGAGTGTCTCTGTAGATCTTAGAAAACTATTTCTTGATTTAAGTCGTTGATATGCTGGCTGATACCCAAACAGGGGATGAGCTGGAGATGTCTCTGCCTTGGTCCTTTCACTATTGGCTGCTACTTCCCGGCGGATGTCAGGTGGTGCAATACCGGCTAAGCAGTGTAATTTCTCCAGTAGTGTAGGATGCAGACACCCTGTGATAATCTGGCATGTCTCATTAAGAGCCACATCTACTGTTTTAGCGTGGTGAGATGTGTTCCACACTGGGCATGCATACTCAGCGGCAGAGTAGCAAAGTGCAAGGGCAGATGTCTTCACTGTGCCTGGTTGTGATTCCCAGGTTGTGCCAGTCAGCTTTCATATGATATTGTTTCTAGCACCCACTTTTTGCTTGATATACAGGCAGTGCTTCTTGTAGGTCAGAGCACAGTCCAGAGTGACTCCCAGGTATTGGGGTGCGCTGCAATGCTCCAGTGGGATTGCTTGCCAGGTCATCCTCAGAGCTGAAAAGGGGGACAGGTGAAAGGTAGAGAACGCACTTAAGTGTGCCGAGTTTGCAATGTCTAATTCCCATCTTTATATTATAACTTTATTTGTACCCCGCTAGCATCTCCCGAAGGATTCGATGCGGCTTACAGCAGGCCGAAGCCCAAAACAATACAGCAATACAATACATAGCAAATAAAACAGTCAAGCAAAAACAATGACAGTAGCAACACGACAAGACATTATTAAAAACTGAGTCGGCCGAAGTAGGGTACAGGGTTAAAAGTGCTGATGTGTCGGAGGGGTGTGGGATTATAATAAAAGTGTGGTGTGCAGTGTGCGGTGATCTTGGTAACTAAAGTGCTTCTGGGATTTGGTCCTGGGAGATTCCTAATCTGAAAAGGCACATTGGAACAGCCAGGTTTTCAAATTCTTTCTGAAAACTGCCAGTGTAGGGGCTTGTCTGAGATCTTTCAGGAGGGTGTTCCAGAGGCGGGGGGCCACCACGGAGAAGGCCCTGTCTCGCGTCCCCACCAAGCGCGCTTGTGACACGGGCGGGATCACGAGCAGGGCCTCTCCAGATGACCGGAGTGAGCATGTGGGTTCGTAGACAGCGATACGGTCACGCAGGTAGGGTGGTCCCAAACCGTTCAGGGCTTTGTAGGTAAGCACCTGCACCTTAAATTGGGCTCGGAAAATAAACGGCAGCCAGTGGAGCTCCTTAAACAGGAGGGTTGACCTCTCTCTGTAATGGGCCCCAGTTAACATCCTGGCTGCTGCCCGTTGGACCAATTGGAGTTTCCGAGCCGTTTTCAAGGGCAGCCCCACGTAGAGTCTAGAGGTGACTAGGGCATAGACCACCCCAGCCAGATCAGCCTTAGCGAGGTATGGACGTAGCTGGCACACAAGTCTCAATTGTGCAAAGGCCCTCCCGGTCACCGCCGAAGCCTGAGCCTCAAGCGTGAGCGATGAATCCAGGAGGACTCCAACTGCGGACCTGTGACTTCAGGGGGAGTGTAACCCCGTCCAGCACAGGTTGCCACCCTATACCCTGATCCAGTTGCGATCGACCAGGAGGACCTCTGTCTTGTCGGGATTGATCTTCAGCTTGTTCCTCCTCATCCAGATAGACACAGCGGCCAGGCACTCGTCCAGCACCCGAGAGGCCTCCTTGGAATTAGGTGGAAAAGAGTAGTAGAGTTGTGTGTCATCTGCGTAGAGATGGCACCCAACTCCAAAACTCCGGATGACCTCTCCCAGCGGTTTCATGTAGATGTTAAAGAGCATGGGAGACAGAATAGAGCCTTGTGGGACCCCACAGGTCAAAGGCCAGGGATCCGAGCAGGCATCTCCCAGCTTCACCATCTGAGTTCGTCCCTCTAAGAAGGACCGGAGCCACGACACGATCTTTGGGTTTCAAGGGCTGTGTTAATATTTGTTGACCTTTGGAGTAGGTTCTCTAGCAATGCTGATGAAACAGCAGAGCATGTTCCCCCAACCAGGGACCTGTCATAACCCATCTGTAGCCATGATGGCTTTGCGTCAAGCGAGGCTCTTTCAGCCAAGGTCAGAAAATTTAGCTTCAGCCGCAAGGCTATTCAATGCTAATCAAGGTGGCCAGTTGCAATATTCACACTTGCCTCCAGCAGACAAGCGTTCCTCCTCCCTCCCTGGACATCATTCCACAGATATATAAACCCCACTTGCCTGGTTTCCAACAGACCTCACAACCTCTGAGGATGCTTGCCGTAGATGTAGGTGAAACGTCAGGAGAGAATGCTTCTGGAACATGCCCATACAGCCTGGAAAACTCACAAAAACCGATTATTATTATTACTTACTGTCCCCTGCCATGCATTTCTGTGGCCCAGTCTGTGTAGATGTGTTGTGTGTGTGTATATATTTGTGTATATGTGTATATATGTACATTTGCATATGTGTGTGTGTGTGTGTGGTTTTGCGCATCCATTGTAATGTATTTTTTGGGGTTTTTTTTGGCTTTTTAAGTCTCTTCTGCTGTGTTTTTCAGTGTTTTTATGAGTGATGGTCACTTGTTGGCCTGAATTTGTGTCCAAATTTGGTGTCAATTTGTCCAGTGGTTTTTGAGTTAATCCCACAAATGAACATTACATTTTTATTTATATAGATTATTATTATTATTATTATTATTATTATTATTATTATATTATTATTATTTACAGTATTTATATTTCTCCCAAAGCAAATTACATTCAAAGTAATTTCACAGCTGGAATCACTGGGTTGCTGTGAGTTTTCCAGGCTATCTGGCCATGTTCCAGAAGCATTCTCTCCTGACATTTCGCTTGCATCTATGGCAGGCATCCTCAGAGGTTGTGAGGTCTGTTGGAAACTAGGAAAATGGGGTTTATATATCTGTGGAATGTCAAAAACAGGGGAATTCCAGATATTGAAACAATCAGGGCCAGCTAACCACCTCCCAACAAAGGATTCCCCCAGGCAGGAAGAAGCCAGACCTTGTAACTGCTAGGACATTAAATGCTAATTGAAACAGTCATCCCTACCTTAAACAGACAAGAGTTCTTTCTCTTATATATCTGTGGACATCATTCCACAGATATATAAACCCCACTTACCTCCAACAGACCTCACAACCTTTGAGGATGCCTGCCATAGATGCTGTGAGTTTTCCAGGCTGTCTGGTCATGTTTAGAGTTTTTTAAATACTGTAGGCAGATTTTAATACTCTAGCCAGATTTTGTTCATTTTCATGTTTTCATCCTTTCTATTGAAATTGTCCACATGCTTGTGGATTTCAATGGCGCCTCTATGTAGTCTGACATAGTGGTTGTTGGAGTGGTCCAGCATTTCTGTGTTCTCAAATAATATGCGCCAGTATTAAAAAAGCTCTAAAATTATAACAGTAAATAAAGACAGGGGAGCTCCAGACAAGAAACAATCAGGGACAGCTAATAACCTCTCAACAAAGGATTCCCCCAGGCAGTAACAAGCCACACCTAAAAACTGTCAGGCCATCAAATGCTAATCAAGGTGGCCAATTGAAACATTCACACCTAGCTCCAACAGACAAGAGTTCTTTCGCCCACCCTGGTCATTCCACAGATATATAAACCCAATTTTCCTAGTTTCCAACAGACCTCACAACCTCTGAGGATGCTTGCCATAGATGCAGAGGAAACGTCAGGAGAAAATGCCTCTAGAACATGGTCATATAGCCCGGAAAATGGGAACCTTGGGGGGTGACAAGGGGGTGCCAGAGGGGTCGCCAAAGATCATAAGAAAACACAGTATTTTCTGTTAGTCATGGGGTTTCTGTGTGGGAAATTTGGCCCAATTCTATCATTGGTGGGGTTCAGAATGTTCTTGGATTGCAGGTGAACTATAAATCCCAGCAACTACAACTCCCAAGTATCAAAGTCTGTTTCCCCCAAATTCCACCAGTGTCCAAATGTCAAGGTCTATTTCCCCCAAACTCCATCTGTGTTCATATTTGGGCATACTGAGTATTTGTGCCAAGTTTGGTCCAGATCCATCATTGTTTGTGTCCACAGTGCTCTCTGGAGTTATGTGAACTTCAACTCCCAAAACTCAAGGTCAGTGCCCACCAAACCCTTCCAGTATTTTCTGTTTGTCGTGGGAGTTCTGTGTGCCAAGTTTGATTCAATTCCATCATTGATGGAGTTCAGAATGCTCTTTGTTTACAGGTTAACTTTAAATCTCAGCAACTACAACACCCAAATGGCAAAATCAATTCCCCCGCTAACCCCACCAGTATTCAAATTTGGGCATACCGGGTATTTGTGCCAAATTTGCTCCAGTGAATGAAAATACATCCTGCAGATCATTATTTACATTGCGATTCATAATGTTAGAGTTATGGTTGGGGGTCACCACAACATGAGGAACTGTATTAAGGGGTCCCGGCATTAGGAAGGTTGAGAAACACTGATCTAGAACATGGCCATATAACCCGAAAAAACCTACAACAACCCAGTGATTCCAGCCATGAAAGCCTTTGACGTAACAGAGGTGCTTTTGGAAAAGTTAGTAAATGGCAAAAAAGCATTTCAAGACATTGGGAAGAGCATCTTGGTGGATGCTTGGGGAATATTACTGTAATGTGAGAAGTTCCTTCTTGGCCTGCAGCTCCCAGAATTCCAGACTTCCCTGATTTTCTATGTTCGTAGACGGAGAGACACGAGCCTCTTCCCTCTTGACATCACGGTGGGGGGAAATAACTGTTCTTGCTGGTGGCAATAGTACACGATTCATGACGATGCGTCTCACCACCTCTGTGTTTTTTCCCTCCTTGGCGCTCTCCGACCCCCGTCTCCTGCAGCAAGATGGCTTTTGGATCTATTCCGAGTACTGTAACAACCACTTGGACGCCTGCATGGAGCTCTCTAAGCTGATGAAAGATGGCAGGTACCAGCACTTCTTTGAAGCGTGCCGTCTCTTGCAGCAGATGATTGACATTGCCATCGACGGGTTCTTACTGACACCGGTGCAGAAGATCTGCAAGTACCCCCTGCAGCTGGCAGAACTGCTGAAGTACACGGCCCAGGACCACAGGTAAGCATCCAGGGAGAGGAGGGAGGGAGGGAGCAAGCTTGTTTTCTGCTTCCTTGGAGACTAGGAGGCGGAACAATGGCTTCAAACTACAAGAGAGGAGATTCCACCTGAACGCGAGGAAGAACTTCCTGACTATGAGAGCTGTTCAGCAGTGGAACTCTCTGCCCCGGAGTGTGGTGGAAGCTTTTAAACAGAGGCTGGATGGCCATCTGTCAGGGGTGATTTGAATGCAATATTCCTGCTTCTTGGCAGGGGGTTGGACTGGGTGGCCCATGAGGTCTCTTCCAACTCTTTGATTCTATGATTCTATGATTCTATGAGGGAGGGAGGGACGATGGGTTTTGACTATAGCAGTCTCCCATTGCAGCCTAACACAACTGGGTAGCATTTTCCTCCCAGAATATCATGGAAGATTTGAAATAAGTGTGATTCCTTTGTCTGAGTAGCTTTAAGGAGTTACAACCAAGAAGCCCTCTGAATTGCAGTATGATTTCCTTATCTGCATTTCCACTTTCCAACATTCTGAAAAATCAGAGATGTTTGTGGTCTTCTCTAAGGCTGGCTCATCTGTAGAAGGAAATCAGTCTTAACCCCATGTGACGGCGCGAGTGGTGCCACCTATGTATAGAACTGTTAGTTGTAAGATTTAAACTGTTGTATCATGCTTAATCCTGCCCCATTTTACACTGCTTATGTATGGATTGGTTGCTTGTAGCTGTCAATCAGTACTGTTTTGTTCCACCTCTTCCTGCAAGAGGGGAGAACTTCCTTTTTCTTTTCATTCTGCCATCAGAGTTTGTACCAGATGGACGTGAGTAAGAGACCTGACTCTAAAGGGCCCTGATTTAAGTTACCTCTTAGCACCAGTTCTGAGGTTTTTGTACCCCTGGGACTCATGCTTTATGTCCAGATCGTCCTGGGCAATTATTGAGGAGACCCAGGCGCCTTCAAGCCGGTTCTTTTGGCACCAAAGGAAGATCCTGAATCTTCAAAACATAGGCCATCTGAACTGGGGTTGTGGTTTGCTCCGGCATTCACAGCCATTGAGGAAAGAGGAAACTTGGTGAGGCTTCTCAGCTTCAAACCCCTTGGACCCAGGACTAATTGAGACTGTAATGTATGTTTTCCTTCACCCCTCTAAAGTTTTCCAGCTCATTGCTTTGAAGAAATGACTTTGTGATAAATAAAACTTATTTTGAGCTACTTACAGTGTTTTGGGTTTTTGGGAGTTCCAGTTTCCTATAGGAGAGCAAGAAGCAATCCCCTGGGGGAAAGATGCCACATCCATCCCTTCTTTATTGAGAATAATAGCCCCCAGGCGCGATGGCACACCCCACTTGAGCTGCCATGACTCAAAGCTATGGGATCCTAGGAGTTGTAGTTTTACCAAGGTCTTTAGCCTTCTCTGCCAAAGAGTATGGGACCTCACCAAACTACAGCTCCCCAGATTCCATAGCTTTGAAACATGACAGTTCAAATAAATAATAATAATGATAATAATTGCTATTGTTTTTTTTTCCAAATTGATATACCACTTGTATTGATTTAAAAAAGCATTTGACTCACTGCCACATAGTTGGATCATCAAATGTCTGGATGTCATCGGGATTTGTGAAAATATTAGCAAGATCACTGAAAATGCAGTGAAACAATGGAAAACTGGGTTGTTTGTGAGCAACGAAAGCTTGTATCTGTTAACATCTATAAAGGAATTTTCCAGGGCAACTCACTGCCACCACTGTTGTTCAACATTGCAATAATCCCACTGTCGGTAATTCTACAGAAAACAAACCTGGTCTACCAAACAGCAAGAAATTCATCAAAAATTTCCCACTTACTGTACATGGATGATCTAAAGCTTTATGGAAAATCAGAAACAGAAATCCAGTCACTGACCAACACAGTCAGAATCTTCAGCACTGACATCAGGAGTTCAGTCTAGACCAGTGTATCTCAACCTGGGGGTCGGGACCCCTGTGGGGGTCACGAGGGGGTGTCAGAGGGGTCGCCGAAGACCATCATTAAATACAGTATTTTCTGTTGATCATGAGTGTTCTGTGTGGGAAGTTTGGCTCAATTCTATCATTGGTAGGGTTCAGAATGCTCTTTGATTGTAGGTGAACTATAAATCCCAGCACTACAACTCAAATGTCAAAGTCTATTTCCCCAAACTCCACATTTGGGCATATTGAGTATTCATGCCAAGTTTGGTTCCAGATCATCATTGTTTGAGTCCACAGTGCTCTCTGGATGTAGGTGAACTATAACTCCCAAACTTAAGGTCAATGCCCTCTAAACCCTTCCAGTATTTTCTGTTGGTCATGGAAGTTCTGTGTGCCAAGTATGGTTCAATTCCATCATTGGTGGAGTTCAGAATGTTCTTTGATTGTGGGTGAACTATAAATCCCAGAAACTACAACTCCCAAATGACAAAATCAACCCCTCCCCAAACCCCACCAGTATTCTAATTTGGGCGTATTGGGTATTTGTGCCGAATTTGGTGCAGTGAATGAAAATACATCCTGCATATCTGATATTTACATTACAATTAATAACAGTAGCAAAATTACAGTTACGAAGTAACAACGAAATAATTTTATGGCTGGGGGTCACCACAACATGAGGAACTGTATTAAGGGGTCGCGGCATTAGGAAGGTTGAGAACCACTGGTCTAGACAAATGCACCACAGTAGCACTAAAGAAATGAAACATTACTCATAGCGAAGACATAGAGATGCCAACTGGACAAACCATAAAGTGTAATCAGCTTGAAACCTATAAATATCTGAGCATACTACAGCTGGACAATATCAAGCATGGACATGTGAAAAATGTGATCAGCAAAGAATATGTCCAAAGGAGCAGAAAAATTATAAAAGAGCAAATTAAATGGCAGAAATGCCATCAAGGCTCTCAACATCTGGGAAATCTCCATCATCAGATGTTGTTGTTCATTCGTTCAGTCGTTTCCGACTCTACGTGACCTCATGGACCAGCCCACGCCAGAGCTCCCTGTCGGCCGTCACCACCCCCAGCTCCTTCAAGGTCAGTCCAGTCACTTCAAGGATGCCATCCATCCATCTTGCCCTTGGTCGGCCCCTCTTTCTTTTGCCTTCCACTTTCCCCAGCATCATTGTCTTCTCTAGGCTTTCCTTTCTCCTCATGATGTGGCATTCAAAGGACTTCATCTTGGCCTCTACTCTCTTTCCCTCCAGTGAGCAGCCGGGCTTTATTTCCTGGAGGATGGACTGGTTGGATCTTCTCGCAGTCCAAGGCACTCTCAGCACTTTCCTCCAACACCACAGCTCAAAAGCATCGATCTTCCTTCGCTCAGCCTTCCCTCAGGTCCAGCTCTCACATCCGTAGGTGACTACAGGGAAGACCATGGCTTGGACTAGGCAACGGATCTTGGTTGCCAGTCTGATGTCTCTACTCTTTACTATTTTATCGAGACTGGACATTGCTCTCCTCCCAAGAAGGAAGCGTCTTCTGATTTCCTGGCTACAGTCTGCATCTGCAGTAATCTTTGCACCTAGAAATACAAAGTCTGTCACGGCCTCCACATTTTCTCCCTCTATTTTCCAGTTGTCAATCATTCTTGTTGCCATAATCTTGGTTTTTTTGATGTTTAGCTGCAACCCGGCTTTTGCGCTTTCTTCTTTCACCTTGATTAGAAGGCTCCTCAGCTCCGCCTCGCTTTCGGCCATCAGAGTGGTGTCATCTGCATATCTGAGGTTGTTAATGTTTCTTCCAGCAATTTTCACCCCAGCTTTGCATTCATCCAGCCCCGCACATCGCATGATGTGTTCTGCATACAAGTTAAAAAGGTTAGGTGAGAGTACTGGAATTGTGAACTGGACACAAGCATAGCTGGATGATCTGGACAAAAAAACAAGAAAACTGATGACAATCTACTCCTCATGACACCCAAGTAGTGAGATCAACAGACTTGACCTGCCCAAGAAATCAGGAGTCAGAGACAAGGCTTCTGCAAGTGAAACAAAGGGTAGAAGAAGAAAAATATTCACTTACAGATTATGGGAAAGGCAGTTAAGAACCAACATTGATTGAAGCAAATAACAGAAAAGAGTGACAAAAAGACAAAGAGTGAATACCGTAAAAATACAATGCAGAGTGGAAGAGAAAACTGGCCAAAGAAGGCTCTTCATGGACAGTTCCTGGGAAGCATTGACAGCAAAATTGACATGGATGTGGCTCACAAATGGAACTCTGGAAAAGGAGATGGATGACCTGATTCTGGCAGCTCAAGGAGAAGCCATTAGAAGCAATGCCATCCAAGACAGAATTGAAAAGTCAATAACAAATCCCAAGTGTAGACTCTGCAAGTAAGCTGGCGAAATGATAGATCACATCCTCGACTGCTCCAGGAAGATTGCACAGACTGACTATATACAGAGGCACAACATTGTTGCTCAAATGATCAATTGGAACTTGTGCAGGAAATACCATTTGCCTGTGACAAAGAACTGGTAGGATCACAAACCGGAAGAAGTTACGAAAAATAAACACCAAACTATTCTGGGATTCCAAATTCAGATTGACTGAGTTTTGGAGCACAAGACTCTTGATCTCTCGATCATGTTAAAAAACCAAGTATGGATCATTGATGTTGCAATCCCAGGCAAGCGCAGGATCGAAGAGAAACAACTGGAAAAGCTGATACGATACGAGGATTTAAAGATCAAACTGCAAAGACTCTGGCACAAGCCAGTCAAGGTGGTCTCAGTGATGATTGGCACACTGGGTGCAGTGCCTAAAGACCTTGGCCTGCACTTAAACACAATCAGCACTAACAAAATTACCATCTGCTAGTTGCAAAAGGCCACCCTACTGGGATCTGCACACATTATTTGCCGATACATCACATAGTCCTAGACACTTGGGAAGTGTCCTACGTGTGATCCAATACAACAGCCAGCAGGCTTCTACTTTGATTTCCAGCGTCTGGAGATGGTGCTTATATCTGACTCTGGGGAGA